ACGTTGTGCTCAGACCCTGGCAGGCTCTTTATAACCATGCAGGATGAAAAATCCCCTCCGGAGCAGTTTAAAATCAGACCAGATAACATGTAAGCCAATCAAGGAGAGGAAATGAGATGTTACAACAGATTTATTTTTCCAAATGTGTTTTTAATTCAAAGAAGAAACCCTCTCCTCCCATCTGACGCTGTATTTTTTTAGGCATTTAATTCGTGTGCGTTCACTTTTCTGGTCAGGGTTCGTAGGTGGCCATCAGCCCAAGGGGCTTGGTTCGGTTTGGTGTTTGGGTTTGGTTTTTTTTTTTCTTCTTCTTTGATTGATTTCCTAACTGTCTCCTATATCTGTTTTTCTATTTATCTTGTCCTTGATCCAAAGCTCACTGCTGGCAGCGGGAATCTCCAAAGTCTGACCTCAGCCAGCGTCAACTCTGGCTTTTCATAAATCAGGCAGTGCCTGTTTTCTGTGTTTATGAAAAATATTTTTATGAAAATGATGTTTATGAAAGTACCAGTGCGTTCATTTGCAGGCAGGGCACTGCAGGAAGGACGACCGGGAAGGAGAAAGAGGGACCGGGTTTTGCTGCTGCAAAAGCACCGGGTCCCCTTCAGCATCCCCTTGTCTTGGGGGGGGCGACACCAAAAAGTCCACGATTGAGTTGTTATATTAATGGGAGAACCGTACAGGTGTGCCTGACGCTGAGGCCAGCGGGGGATTCATCGCACCAGCATCAGGCACTTAAGATGGGGAGGCCTGGTCCAGGCTGAGCAGCTAAATCGCATCTATAGGCAGTGGATGTAAAAGGATGTAAAAGTGGGATTAATCTCTCATTGGCGATGCCGAAAGGGAGAACTTCTTTCTTCTTTCTCCTTAAGGAGAACCCTCAATTAGCAAAAGCCGGGGGGGGGGAGCAGTATAGTCTATAAGTGGCCAACATAGTTGAAGAGCACCGTAAAGAGGAGCTAGCCGAGGTGGAAATTGCCCGGGAGGGAGCACAGCATCCCCAAAACCGCGGTGATACAGCCCGCGGCGATGGGACACATCCCTTCCTTCCCTGGACAAGAAAACGTTTCAGAGCTTCTTGACCAGAAACCAGCACCGTGGTCCGACACGTGTCCTGGGGGGAGACGTGATGTGCTGGAAATCGCAATGCGTCCCCGCGCCCCGTAACTAAGCAGTGGTACCTTAATTGCAACGGCACCTTTAAGCCCCCAAATGACACCCTGTTGGTGGCAGGGGCTGGCCGTGTTTAAGAGGTTTGTCCTCCGACTCTGAGCTCCGGGAGAGGACACGAGGGCCGGGGCTGGAGCCACGGGTGAGTTTTGCTCCTGATTTCTTCTGGACACCTTCAGGCAGGGAAGGATGCGAAATATTTGGGAGCTGGGTGATGCCTGGGCGCGAGAAGCAGTGTGACTTCTGACCGAAGCCCTTCCCAGGAACTTTTCCAAGGAAATTTAGAGGGGGGGGGAAAAGACCCTCACCTTGGAGAAAAGCCCCCAGGACGCCCTGAGAAACTGGAGCAACATCCCAGCGATTTCAGGTTTAAGCCTGAGCTCCCGGCCAGGTCTGCGCTCTGCGGGTGTCCGCAGCCGCGTCCCAGCGCAGACGTCAGCTGCAATTAACAGCAACGACACATTTTTTCACCAACGGGACCAGATCCAACCACCCCAAACACCAGAAGAGGCGTTCAAACCCCAGCCCTGCAGCCAAAGGGCTGCCCTGGTACCCGGTCAGGAGATGGGGCTGAGCCCAGCCCTCTCCATCCCCCAGGAGACATCTCGGACGTGTCCTGGACCACGCTGGAGAGCAGACGGGGCACGACGAAGCGCGCCCGTGTCCTGGACCACGCTGGAGAGCAGACGGGACACGACGAAGCGCGCCCAGGGATGGGCAAGGAGGGAAAGAGCCACCTTTCGTACCACCAGCGGAGCCGAGGGCCCTCCAGCCCAATATCTTATTTTTTTGGGCCGGGGCTGATACCAGCACAGCCCCCCGCCCCCACCCGTCCCCTCACCCACACCCTCACCCCAGGGCGGGGGGGCTCAACACCACCACCTTTAACACCCCCTGGGCTTCAGCCCTTCAGCGTATGCCTAATCCTGGGGGTTTTTTCCCCCCTGAAAATAAGATTTTCAAGCAGCAGGAGCCCAGATTTCGTCTCCTTAAACCCTCACTTGAAGGACTCTGTATGGACTCCCGGGACTGCACGTTGCCCCGGAGCTTTTAGCAGTACCAGTGATGAGTCCTGCCGAAAAAAGGCCGAGGATTTAACGCTTTGGCTTACATTTTTGGTTTTCTTAAAGAGAATTCCCTGACTACTCTGGAATAAAAATTTCGAATGTATTTAGAGTGATTTGGGACTCTTGGTTACTTGGGCTGAGTTTGTCACTTGGATCCCTTTGGAAAAAATTCATCATCTCTCGTGACCGTTGACGATTTTAACCTAAAAAAAAAAAACAAAATTGT